GGAAAGAGCCAGGATTTAAACTAAAATTTCTGACTCCACATAGTGTACTATTCCTCACATAGGATTGTGTGCCCCACAGGATGCTGTTAGGATTTGGGTGAATGAATAAGTGAATGAATGAATGATTCTGTCCACAGGCACCTGAAATGGGTTTCAAGCTCTACATGTATAATAGAGAATTCTTGAGTTGACCTGTTTTCCAGGTAAGATGGTGGAGGAGAAAGCTGATGTACTCACCCCTTAAACATGGTGACGTCCTCAACTGCCACAGCTCACAGCTGCGACTGTAAAGGGCCTTGAAGGAGAAGCTCCAGCCAGCATGGAGCAGTCCTACCTGTAATGGCCAACACTTAGATAGTGCTGACCACATGGCAGGCCTGGCTTTAGGTGCTTTGACTCACTGAATCTTCATAATAACTCTATGAGGAGGTACTATTATTAGCCCCATTTTACAGTTGAGAAACAGAAACAGAGAATTAAGTGCCCTGCCTAAAGTGTTAGAGCTGGGATTTGAACCCTGGAGTCTGGCTCTGAGACATATTCCTAACACCACAACTGTATCGCCTCCTGTAAGACTTCATCATAAGCTCGTGATGTATTTTAGGCTCCTGTTTGCTGCTAATAATATCTTGTGCACCAATAGAATCTCCTACTTTGTCTGGGTAACAGAATCAATCCCTGTCTATCTTCTGCCCTTCTTTCCATTTTTATAGGTGAAAAGAATGAGGATAAAAATGGTACCAGTACCTAGCTAGATTATTTTAAGGAATAAATGAAGACAATACTTAGAACATTGTCTAGCACATTGTAAGCACTTACTAAACACTAGCTATTGTTACTATGACTAATTTGGGAGGGATGGCATAGAGTAGCAGCCACAGGGACCATCCTCTGGGATTTCTTGGGCTTTCACTGTCCAGTCATCTCAGCTTCAGTCTTCAGCCAATTTCAGCAAACACTTTTAAGGAGAAATGTGGGTCAGAGGAAACCATTTGGGGAGGCCAGGGTAGCCTGGCAGGGAGTGTGCATCGTGCTTTTCTTCTCACATTTTGTTGCCTATCACTATTAGAAGGTTGCCTCCCAAACTAAAGCTTGCTCAGTGCCTAACCAGAGGTCTGACTGGCATCCCCTAAACTTCAGTTATATAATGGCTGAGGTGGCACCAAGGCTCCTTAGGCCATATCTGCATTCTAGGCTTTTCTAGATAATGGGAAAGCTTCATACTCTAGGCAACTGTTAAGCCCTCATGGGTATCATTCTGCCTTGCGTACTCATCTAGGCTAGGTAGGTGCAACAACAGTGCAAGAGTCAGGGGCATGAAACTAGGCTCAGCTCTCTACGCCTCACGAAAAAGAAAAGTTGCTTCGCATCCCATAGTTCATGTTCTCTCTCTTTCCTTTTGCCTACCTCTTCCTTCTTCTTGTCTTCCCTCTCTCTAACAATTAACCCGAATCCATTTTGCTGCTGTAGAACCTCCTTCTATTGCTTCCTTCAGCTTTTCTGGGTTTGAGGAATTGGTAACCCACTCCCCACACCCTCCCCTCCCCACACCAGCAGGCAGTCAGGTTCTGTAAATGCCTGTGACTGTGCCTGGAGCAAATGGCACTGAAAGGATCCAACTCCTCATCCTCCTCAATGTTTTCTGCAACACCAGCCTCAGCAAGAGACAATGCTGAGAATTACACTTATACCTGGAGACTCTACGTGATATTTCCCCGAACTGAATTTGGCACTTAGAGTCACTTTCTTCTAAAAATTTTATTTCATGAATAATAACAAATTCCATTTATCAAGCATGTACCTATGCTAGGTATTAATCTAAGCACTTACATACAACATTTCATTTAATTACCATAACAGGCCAATGAGGTAGATAATATTATTATCCTCATTCAGTAGATCAGCACTGTCCAATAGAACTTTCTGCAATGATGGAAATGTCCTTTCTGCCAATACAGTAGCCACTAGTCACATGTTGGTATTGAGCAATTGAAATGGGCTAGTGTGACTGAGGTATTGCAGATTTGATTTAATTTAATTTAATTTAATTTTATTTTATTTTATGTAAATGTAAGTCACCAATGTGGCTTGTGGCTACCATATTGGAAGACACAGAATTGTAGACGTAGATCTTCACAGCAGAGCTGCCACTGTGTCAGACTGAGGAATTGAAATTTCATCTTTGTCCCCATTCTTTAGTGAAAAACATGTTCATTTCTCAACTGAAGAATGGGCTGGGGGCCCAAAACATGTTCAGGACTCAGCACCCAGCCCCACTGTGGATTTTGGCCCGTGGCCATCCCAGAATGAAGTGTTGCCTACCCAGACACCGATGTTCATCTTCCAAGTAGCCAGAGCAGAGTTCCCGAAAGGATCATTTACTATAAATGATTCACCTTGGTTTCAGCATGAGTTATTCCAGAAAGGAAGGGGTTAACAAAGTGGAGCTCTGAATGTAGGCTGTGAAGGCAACAGGTAGCAGAAGGCGACAGAAAGAGAGCATGCCAACAGCCAATTGCCACTGAGCCAAAGAACTTTGATTCCAATAAAGCCAAGTTCTCTAGCAAAAATAGAAAAGGGAGTGACGCTGCCACCTGGCGCAGCCTGAATTCTGGCCACCGGCTGAAAGGGCCTGTGTCTGAAGACCAACACGCTAAACCGGGTGTTTCCTCATCCAAGAGCAGCACACCATCTGGGGGAGGGCATGAGGAGCCTTTGACAAGAACTCAGGAAT